TTTTTAATTACGTATAACAAAAACTGTCATAATTTTCGACCGAGGAATGAGAAAAGATTCAAAGTCTTACGAAACCAAACTCGTGTTGTCGCATAATTTAGCAGATTATAATTATTATTATTATTTAATTGCCTAGCGAAGTAATGATGCGCGTACAACAGCAGTGAGTCGGTCTATTTCAATATCAAAAGAGAAAATGCCGAGGGAGCCGGCTGGAAGGAGCTAAAAGCGTCATTGACTTGGAGCCAGCTTTGAGAATATTTTCACATCAGACAGAAGTATGCGAAGGCGACGAGCGCCACTTTCCGTGGTTCGATGCTTCAGAGGGAATAATTACATGCTTATGATAATTGATGTTGACATTTTCATGATGTACACGGATAATAAGAAGATTCGTAGCCCCCGTTCGTTTATAACTCCGATAACGCTCTCACACGTCGTAAACGGACGGTATATTAGAAGAAAGTTGATAATTCACTTTACTTCGATCTTGTGTTAATGTGAAAAATAATAAAAATCGCGCTGTCTAACATCCCGGATGTGGTTGGTTGAGCGGCGAATGAAATCGATACACACAAAAAAACGGAAGAAATTTGTGTTATCATAACTTTCACCTACTCGAACGGGTTTGTATACGTGAGATTCGTGATGCTCGAGTGATAGGGTGACGATTTCAGTTAAATTTTTTTTTTCAATTTTTGCTAATATAATTTAGAATTGCATATACGAGTTTGTGAGAGCCATCGAAAATTTCAAGGTACCTTCTATTTAAAATTTCATATTTTGCAATTCAGCAAACCAGATTTAAATTCGGATTTTGCAATCGTGTTCTATGTATTATGCATTCTTATACGGAAAAACATGTTTTGAGGAATACATATATTTTTGCCGGGGTCAAAAATATCCGAGAGACCCGGTGTGCATGGTCCACGTACACAAAAATATAGTGGCGAAATATAGGGTTAAATCTTTCTTGCCTTTAGGCCGATAAATTTCATCGCTACCGTGGACGGCCGGTTGCTTTAGGCGAATGATGTATTTCTGCTTCGAGTCTGCCTCGGCGGTACGTAGCAGTAGTCGACCTCGATTTCCATCCATCTATACCGGTACTTGAACTTCCTACGTTTATTTGATCGTGCACCGCGGAGAAAATTGATTATGCTCACTGTGGGGCTGAATATCAAAACCGTTTTCGCGATTTGATTAATAACGCCTTATTTTCGCAGTTTGTATGCACTGCGCGTGCGGGCAAAGATTGAATGCAATGGAGTGCTACCTTGAGCATGTACAACCCAGCACATAAATCATTGCGTATACGTGACGAATGTTATTTTTATGATCGAATCATTATGATTAGTTGTGCTTATTTCCTACCTGAACCTGAACCTTGGACGACCCATCAAACTTCCGGCCTTTTATATCTCCGTTCTCTTAATAAAAATAAGGCATGAAAAATTAATTTGTAGTATCTATACCGATAGGAAGTTTCTACATCTAATAAATCATCATAATACGTAAAAAAAAATCTGGAAACAGATATACGTTAAAGTATCAGGCGTTGAAATCATTTCTTCGGATCGTCGTTTGCACCACATTAAAATGTAGAATTACGACGCACGATGTATATACTCAATAATACTCATCATGATCACATGAGGTCGCAGACGAAAATCGCGATTCTCGCTGGACCGGTTAAGTGATCGTATTAAGCCACGCTGTCCCGGGAGTCCACGGTGGCGCGAGATCGACGGTAAGGGGGAGGATTACCTCGGTGAGAGTAGTTTCCCGCGCGCCATATAGTCCTAAATACTGATTTCGTTCGGCAAGTTCGCCGGCACAGAGCAACCCGCAAATTTACGATCATTAAACCTGAGAAATTGCCTCTTTATCTCGACGCATCTCAATTTATGGCAACGACTTGTTTGCCATAATTTAATGCGCGTCGTTCAATTTAATCCTGCTTACATTGTGTTGTGTGTCAATCGCGATGTTTGGATCGCTCAAGCCTCGTGATGTCTTTGATAACAATGTGCCGAAGATTTGCGGTGATTAAATCTGAGAGACAAATAGTTTCGAAAGATTTAGATTAGATACGCTGCGGGAAAGCAGTTTAAGATCGATCAAAATAAAAGAAAATTTATATATTATTAATAATAATTTATATTAAAATAATCAGTTTGATATATAACTAATAATGTAGATATATATAATTGTCAAGATGTATATTAAAAGATTTTATTTTGTACAATTAATAGTATCTATAATTTAATAAATAAAACGTCATAAACACACATTGCGCGGGGTTTCAATGAACCATCTTATGCATTCTCAGGTTTCTTCCTGTTCTTCACGCTTCTTCGCAATAATGGGCGCACCGCATCGCGCCGGTGTGCACTTAATTCTCTCGTTACCGTTTCAATTCAGTGTATATTAGCGTTTCGAGCAAGTTACCCGAGCATAAATGCAATTCAGACACGGCTATATTCTGCTGGCCGCGGCGACCGACGCGAGCGCGCGCTCCCGTCATGTTGAAGACACTCTCCGGTCTAAAGCGAAAGTCGAACGCGATCTCTTTCGTTCCCGACCTCTCCTCACCTTCGTCCGACCTCCCTCGATCCTTCTTCGCATGCACGCTCTGGCCCGTCTGCTGTCCTTACTTCTTCGTTTTCCGGAATATCTCCGATATCGTCTCTCTTCTCTTTCTCCCTCTCTTTCTCTGTCTCTCTCCCTCTTGTGTAATGACAGACCGTCTCCGCCTGGTACGAGCTAATCGGTACTCGTTATATAAAGCGACGACCGCGCGACACTATGTCAAGAACTTATCGCTTGGCAAGCAGAAAGGAGCAAGTCCAAAATATCATTAATTTTGACATGACAAAGAACAAAAAGAGTTGGTTATTTTGGGGATTTAAAGAGAGAAAAAAATGTTTTCGTAAAAGTGCGAAAAAAATCATATGTTTTGTTTGCATTTCAATGAATAATGTAGTGAGTTTATATAAAGTATAAAAAGAGATATATTGCAAGCTGTAATTTTTTATATAAACGAATTGTTTTTAAAGTGGAAGAGATGAAATTTAAAAAATTGCGAATCAATCTTATTCTGAAAAATCTTAAGTTTCGACTGAATTTATGATATGTATATTAATTTATTTAATCTAATATTTTAAAGATATAAGCATTCCTCTGCAACTTCTGAGTTAGGGTCCGCGAGGAAATGGATCATTTTACATTGGACTTTTTACATTCTTCCTGGCAGACATGGAAGCGTCCGTCCCGAAATCGTTTCACAAGAATATCTCGGAACGTGACATAAACCACTCGCACTCACCAAAACGTTCCACAATGTTTTAACATGGACAACGTGCGTCGGGGCGAACTGTTTGTGATACAACGATGAGGAAACGAGTGCTCAACCGTTTCTTTGAATTGCACGAAAGAAAGTTCGGCTGAAGATTATATTCAGACGAAATTTCACTAAATTTTGTTGCATTGTTGATCTCGTAACAGTCATAACGATCATAAGTCGGATCATAAGAAATAGAAGATTGTATCATATGATGAAATTTTTATTATATTAGATTCAGCAATTATAAAAAAAATATTGAGCTAATGAATAAAATCATAAAATTATGAGAAACGATGAATAAAATTGATATGAAGGCAGCTAACAATATAGCGATTACAGCAAGATAAGAAACGCCAGGATTATATTATATCGTGATAAAATTCTTATCGTATTAGATGCTATTAATGATTATAAAAATTCTTGCGGATAAAATTGCTAATAATATCAAGCATCGATATTTCCTCATTATTTACATGAGTAATTCGCGGATGCGATTTATCATAAACGGAAACATACTTTTTCCACAATATTAACTTTTTAACAGTGTAAATATTTGCTGTTACGAAAGACTCGATAAATATCTGTCGATTTTATATCACTTTTGCGTAAAATGCCGCGTCACGGCATTTTAAATTACACCGTACCTAAAACCACTAACCGAAAAATGTTTTACACCCCAACTTTCTTTAATGAACGAAAATTCTGCGGTAATATACACGAAACGAGAAGTCGTTATCGATATTTTCGTCCACATATCTCCGCGATATACGTCGGAACAATTATGGGAGAATGAACGGCGTCGCGAGACGTGTTGCAGCGAAATCTGTTGCGATATCTGTCTGGATCGGGCAGGCAAAGTAGCGAATTCCGGTCGCGAGATAATTTATAATTTCCGTTGCCTGGCATCGAGAAGGAACTTTTATTTGTTGCACAATTAAAGGAGCGCTGTTCCCTCAGCGCTCTTTGATTTTACGATAAGTGTGCCTCTCGTTGCACGCACGTCGCAGATGGAACCAATCGGTGACAATAATCAAAACCGCAGTTGAATAGCATCGAGACGCGATCGCGAATCGAAGCGTAACGTCAGTAACAATGAGTGAAAGTTCCTCGGCTGGCCATCTCGACGAGAAAGCTAATGAGAAAACGTCGCTTGTTTTGCAAGTTGAAATATCGAGTCGCGTGACAGAAATAGAACGTATCTCGAAAGCTATAATTCCATTTACGGCGATATCAATCCAAATTAAATAAAATTGGACGGCAACGGTTCCGTTAATGCGAAAACTGTATATCTCAAAGGTATATACTTTTTTTATTCCTTCCGAAAAGAGAGAGGGACATACCAGATTAAAGTTCAAATTGCTAATCTAGACGGTGGACACTTCCGAAGGCTCTATTTTCAGGCCGAAGGTTATTCCGTTCGTCGGCAGATTTACTTGTCCAAAAATATCATTGATCAACGGGTCATTTCGTCAAATAGACTCGCAAAAGGCACACCTCGTCATCCAGGTTCTAGTCGCGAGAAGAACGGATCCGTCATCGTCGTCGTCGTGTAAACGTCACGTCGCGTCTATCAGAGCGGCGGTGGAGGCCGAGCGCGAGGTGGGGTATCACCGCTCGACGGTTTCGACGTGAACATCCAGCTCGGCGCCGACTGGCTGGCTCAGTCAAGCTGAAACCGCGAAGGCCCGCGATAGAGCGAAGCGAGCGAGCGAGCGAGCGAGCGGGCGCGCGCGTGCCTTACTAGGTACCTCTCGCGAACGTTTCACCGTTTCTCCGATGCCGCTCGTTCGTCGCCGGCCGCGGGAGGAAAACTCCACGTTTTACGTCGTGCGCCGTCAAATCGGCCGCGATACTCGAAGACGACGCGACGACGACAAGTGAGCGAATCCTCGCGGATCCTCCCGCGCGATAACGCGCGTAACGATGCTCCGGGGGTATACGGCGAGTGCGACGCGATAACGCGCGGATTTTTCGCGTAAACGCGATAAGACGGGTGTGCGCGATACCGTGATTCGCAGTGGCGGAATAAACAACGGGGGCGAATCCTCGCGGCGATTCCGCGCGGCCGCCACGATGCTCCCGTCGCGGTCTTCACGACTAACCAGGCGGAACTCGCTTACGGGATATGATGTCAGTGGAATAAACGGAAGACGTGTATGCCGTGTACGCCTTATCGGTAGTTACCGTATCGGTGCGCCTTAAAAAGCGCGCTGAATCATCGCGCGGTAAAATTGACGGTGCGCGCCGCGGTGTGCCGTCGTTTACGCGATTGGCTCTCTCTCTGTCACGAGGCAAGGTGTTGTGCGGAGTTGCACAATAAACGACGAGGAGGAAAAATCAGCCGCGCGCTCCGAGACGGGCAAGAGAGGAGTGAGAAGAGTCGCCTTCTGCCGCGAAAGTCGCGCATCGAGCCGACCGTGATCTCGGTGTTTAAAGGTCACCGAATCAACGAGACAGAGATCAAAGGATCGAAGCATCTATTAAGCCCGCTCTGCTCTCTTCCACGCGTTATACGCGCGGAAAATCACGACGGTGGGGAGAGCGGGCAGCGCGAGACTTGCTTGTCTCTCTCTTTCTCTCTCAGTCGGTCGCCACGGCTCGCCACGGCTTTCACGACGGTATTTACACTCGACTGCATTCTGAAAATCGCACGCTGTCACTACGCGACGATGAAAAAGAGGAAAGAGTTTCGTTTAAAACGCCGATTAAGAACACTAGATAAGAATGCTAAGGCCGTGAGAAGAGTATAAATGCGGAAAGAAAATTTCATGCTTATTTAAAATAATCTTCTGTTTAAGGACTAATAATAAGTCACGACTGATGATAAAAATATCAAAGTTATACAAGAAAACTGACAAAAGAGAATATAGATTATTTAAAAAAAAAAATGATTTTTTTTCCTTAGCTCATTATTAATTTTTATTTAAAATTTTCATTAGACCTAAATAAAAAATTTCTAACATAATTATATATTAAGGAAATATTTATTCTCTAAATTAAACTTTCTAAATGCTTTCTAAAATTAATATCTTCTTAATAATACACATATATAGATATATATCTATTAAAAAAAGTTATATACAGAATTTGAAGATTCTAAATCAAAATTAATAATGAGCTAAAAATAACGATGAAATAACTAAATATGTATAATAATACAATAAACAGGAAAATACATTCTTGGAAATGTAATTTAAAATATTTTTTTTATATAAGCGCATTAAATATGTATTTAAAAATATCAGAGTCTGTTGATTAAATAGGGAATAATAAATGATCACAAATATCACATAACAATCTATAAAATGCGATGACTAATAGGAATATAGTCGTTTTCCTAATAGACCGAATACGGGATAAAAGAATGAAAATACTGAAGCAACGATCTCGCAGGAATTTGCCTGGCCTAATCGATATAAATATTTACAAATTACTATTGAATGGCTACTTTAACATATTTTTCCATCAAGATAAAGCAGTCGCTGTCGATTTGAATAAAATATTTCGTCGCGTTTCCGGGTTCTTCGTTCGTGAAAAATGCGAGCTACTCGCCATCGGCGGTTCCGGCTTTTAAAAATATTGCAAATTCGTGCGCGCGGCTGGCTGGCGAGATGAAAGCAACCAGTAAAAACGAGAAGCTGTCGACAAAGTCTCCGTGCGCGGCGGTCATGTATATATTATACGGGCCGTCAATATAACGCTACGATAATGATACGTATTAAATTCACGCCGTGTGCGTCACGAAAACGGGCGCGTCTATCGCCGACGTCGCGTCGCGTCGCACGCTCCGCTCCGTTTCGGCATTGAAAGCAATTTTGGACAGTAACCCATTTGAGTGCGTGCGCGAGTGTGCGGCACACATGTGCGCGTATGTACGTGACGTTTCTCGGCGGTTGTCCGTTTAAATCAATCGCGAGTGCATCGACATGCATGCGCGCGGCGCCGTCAGACAACGACACAGTGGCGCGTTAATGGAAAAGTGTCCGCGCGTTTTCATTATTAAACAGTACAATGCGTATAGGAGAAATAATGCAGAAATAGATACAATTCACCTTGACGATGGAGGATCTCGATTTGAACCTAACAAATGGCGCGTACGTAATACTTTTCACGTGTCTGCCACGCAAGAATGATAAGATACGCGCAATTTAAAGTTTATACGTACATATGTAACTCGATTGACGTACAATTTGGCAGTTTAAATTTTTCTCAAATTATTGCTTGATCGATTTATTTTTTTATGTGTTAAAAAAACAATATTTTTATTCCTTAAGAAATTGCATTTGGTTTTCTTATCTCGATAAAGTGAAAAAAATGACAAAATCGGTACGCGATCGTGTCGAAAATGCCGAAAGATTTATAGCGGCGAACACGTTCCATCGGATATACAAATGTCTGCGTATGGAGTGATATTAATGGGCCGTTAAGGGCGATCGTAAAACGGGGAATAACGTCGTTAAATTTTGTGTTACAAATATTATTACTGGTATCCTTATTTATCGTTTCGCATTATCCACCCTTTGAGCCCTTTACCCTTTATTGGGACACATCTGTGCGAGCGCGCCGTTAAAAATACTCTTACAAAGTGTCTCTCCTCGGTGATCGTAATCGGAGAATTATGCATCTGTGACGCGGGGCTGACCTTCCTTCGCTCTGACGTTTGCGGCGTCGCCGTCGCCGCAAGCGAACGTCCAATGTAATAGTTGATTGGTAATATCGCGAGTGTGCGCCGAGATATACGCGGGTTTAGAATGATATCGGTATGTCGAAGCTCCGGATACGTTCAACATCGGCGTGTATATATCATCGTGAGGAACTGTTAGCGCAACGTACGAGCGCGATAACTATGTTAACAGCATCTCTTGTGCACACACGCATCGAGCACGTGGGGCACCAGGCACGTAGTACGAATAGTATTGCCGGTACCGTTAATACCATTCGCGCGATATCTAGTCGCTCAAGAGAGTGCACAACACACGGGCACGCGGAATCGCCGCCGTCGCGTGTGGGAGCGCGCGAGTGACGCCATTTCCCGACCCCCTCGTACCCCCTCGCGTCCTCCTGCCTTTTTCGCGTGAGAACAAAACTCGGATACAATGATATCGAGTAATCGAGCCCGGCGCGCTTTCGGCCATCCTACGCAAGCGAGTTTCGCTAACTGTGCTTGAAAAATGCAGGAAACTCCTATATACGATGGAAGTGGCGTGAGCCATACACTCGTCTTCCACGGAATCTCACACTTAACTTTCGGCTGGTCTTTGTTTTTTTTTTTTCGTTACTTCCCGTTCCTTCCCGCTGAAATCTAAATATATACCCTTGCTGTTATTCTACGTGAGGAAAGTGCAACGAAAACGGACAGAACGTACGCCTGAATAATTGGAAAATTAAATATCTGTTAAATATACCGAAAATAATACATGGTATAATTATAGCAAACATATTTTGGTATTAATTTCCGCGAGCTATTCGTGTTAATTAAGTTAGTCGTTAGACATTTTAATAACTTACATCGTTATAAATTTTGCGAGGCGATGTTGGACGAATCCGAAACCGGGGAGATACTCTTCTATCATAATTCAGAGCACCATCTTGTGCGGTCTTCAACCGCGAGGAAAAGTCTTTTCAGAAATCGATTGCCCGTTCACTACGCGTTTTATTATTCACTCGAACGTCTTGGCACGTTCTCCCGGGGGTATCCGATCCACACGTTTTCACCAGGATTTCGAAGATAAATTTATCCTTCCGACGATACCAAATGAAAACCGCGCGACCGTACATTTTCTACGTTGCATTTTACGGACCGTTATCCAGAACCGGACATTTTCGCTCGCGTTTAGTCAACCGAGAATTCACACGCGCGTATGTGTATGTGTGCGAGAAAATAAAATTTGCCGAGTACACATTCGTGTGCGAAGGGACATGAGGAAAAATTTTCCTGCCGAGTGCAGTGCTCGAAAATTTCATGAGAGAGAGAGAGAGAGAGACTCTTGTTAATTGACATACCACGCGGTGTAAAATTTAATTAAATTTAGGGAGGTAAAAATACATTGCAACGCTTATATTAAAAATTTATTGTACGTTAAAGATTTTAAATTAAAGAGATAAGACTTGAACTAATGAGAAGTAATCAGCTTGAACTATTAAATTATTATGTATTTTTCCGATAATATCTTCGCACGATTTGAATTCGAGGTTAATGTATTTAATACACGTAATTCCGAAGCGAGAGAGGATGCGCGAGGCATTTGTATTCCACCGTACATAACACTTTTGTTCGCTAATATTGAGCAAATCTCACACTGCACGCCAGTTTAGAAACCCGCTCGCGGCTTCCGCGGCGCGTATTGGTTCTTCTTCTCCTGCTATTCTTCATTACGCTCGGGAATACCATCACCGTGTCATTAGGGAATGAGAAAAGCGGATAATAAAGGAATGCAGAAAAGAATCGCGGCTTTCTTGACTCGCGTGCGCGCAACTTATTATCCTACGTGTGTACCCGATAGTATGCCGACGTGAACTTGTTATTAGAGTGTGACGTTTCGCCGAAGCGAACGTTGAACGCCCGTTACTTAGGGCTCTCTTGTTACAGCTGTTAAAATTGAGGAAAAATGTTCGGCTCGGCGAGGTAGAAGTCTGGCGACTCATTCTGTGAATGAGTGCCACTTTTGGAACTCGGCAATCGGTACAAAAAAAAAGAAAATAGAATCCTTTTCGTTCATTGGGTTGCTTTCGCGCGGCTTACTCTCGATTCCTCTTCCTCGGCGAACTCGCTCGCGGGCTCTGCTTTCCGCAGAAATCACCTGTAACCTTTGCCACTTGCAATTCATGCGCCTAGACCGGTCCCACACAGCCGCCTGCGTCTAGTCGCGGAGCGCATACGCTCGACCGAAGCTTTCTCCCGATCGCTAACTTTTACTTTTGCCACAAGCAAATTGAGGATCTCGACGTGTCCGCGCTCTCGTAAGTACGTCCGCCGCTCGCGCATGACGCCGCTGCGAAACTAGTATCCGATCCGCGAAGGGAGGATGAAGTCGGACCCGCGTGTGAAACTGGTGAAACTGATGATGTTTGTTCCTCGTTAGCACGTGCGAAAAAATTCCTTAAATTGTGCCGATTAGAGCGCCGAGGAAAATTAAAATGTTTAACGGTGCTTAAGGCGATGGCTTTGTCAAGGCAATTCTGTTTTCGCGAACGTATTCGTGAATGCGGCCGTGTGAAGTGAAAATACGACTTTAATCGTTTCTACGTGAGAAACTCAATGTGTTATTGAAGGACTAATCGTGACGTAAAAATCAGAGCGGGCTTTATAATCTCGAGAGATCAACACTGTTATAAGGATGAAATTTAAATCAATATCTTGAGTTAAATAACATTTTGTTATTTTTAACAACCATATGTGTCGAAATTTATTTTAACACTTTGTTGGTTTAGTTTAATTAACTATAAATTGAGTGCCCTATAGGAATACTTAAAAATGACTCAAATTGAATATAATTTGACACTATGATGAATTTTAACAGTAAAGAGATAGTAGCAAACACATATCGCGCCAAATATATCCATAAAAAAATACTATCATATATCTATCTTTTCTAGAGTGTGATGACATTTTGGAAAATACTGGATTGTATTTTTGAATTAGATTGTTGTATGCAAAGTCGAAAATAGAGTCGGATAGATTTAGTTGTAAACAAAATCTCGCACAGACTTGACGGACCACCCTTGAAAAAGATATACGTTAGCGAGTACGGCGCGACCGCATATAGTTCCCATCTCTCGATGTTGCGTGGAACGATATTTCGCTTGCGTGCTCTTCAACAAACCGGGAAAAAAAAACGCAATAGCCCGCACATAGGCGGTGCGAAATTAAAACTGGAACACGCGCGCTCGTTGAAAACTGTCGCCGTGTATTGACGCGAAATCCCTATCGCCCCGACATTAACATACGTGAAAGTACAGTAGCCGGTACGCGGATATACCTGTTGTACGCTATTATTTTTCTATTTACAGTTCAGCTGGCGGTACGAGCGCGCGTACCATTCAAAGAGGGATAAATTTATCGTCAACACGTATAGAGGTACACCAAGCGTTCAATAAAAATCGCGCGAGAAACGCGGCCGCGACCGTATTTCGGACGGTATTCTGGCTTTTGTTCTATTTTCCCGATTAACTTGTCGAGCGCCGTAATTAGACAATACGAAAATTCGAAGGACATTAATTTCTTTTCGAATACTTTTTATCCCAGGCAATCTCTCGAGTCGCTTTTATCACTGTTCGGGCTCCTGGTACAAACGGGAAATTCTGTTCCGCGGAATATATATAGACACGGTGGATTAACGCGGATCAATCGGTGCGAGCGCAATTGAGATCGCCGTTGGAAATCGTTTGTGCGCCATAAATCGATCGGGCTTCTTTCCTGTCTCGCGCTTTAAAGTGGATCTCCCCCTTCGTGGGTGCAATGACCTCTCGTGCCGGTCCTGTCTCGGCGCTAACTCTCCTCTTTTTAACGTAGATTCAGAAATATATATATATATATACACACGCCGATCGCGCACGGCCAGAGTGAATTGACCTGTATTTCCGAGCGGTAGCAGCGTCGAGACGAGCGTAACAATGTATATGCGCGCGGCCGTTGAAATCGCCGCCGGTGGGAGGCCGCCGCCCCACCTTTCATTCGACTTTGACAGTTCCATTATGGTATCGAAGCTAACGGCAAACAGAACGGGTGTAGTTGACGATTGTGAATCAACGTGCTCGCCGGTTCGTCAAGGTATTTTTATTGTTCCCCCCTTATTTTTTTGTTGTTTCGCGCCGGAGCACTGAGCACAAGATGCCGAATCCACGCTCGACGTGGAAAACGGGCAGTTCCGTTGTTCGTTTCCTCGTAGCCTAGTGTCGCCGCTGTGAAATTGAATCGCGATAAACGCGAAAAGTGCATCCCCCCGTGACCCGTGACGTCGATCTACTTCGCGCGAATGGAATCTGAATCGATTTGATTCAGCTGGGTGCAACGAGCCTCGCGTTCGCCTCCTTGGATCAATTCGGCGAGCGCATCCGGTGGAGTGTTCCGCCATTGTCGTGGTTGGATTAATTCAATCAATTTCGCGTTTGTCTACCGGCGAGCCCCGGGGAGGCTCGAGACAAGTTTTCGCCACACGAAAGAGAGCAAAGTGGATCGCGTTAACGAGTTGTGCGACGAGTCGACGTGTTGTAAAGGACTTACTTCGCTGTATATGTCGCACCGTTAAAAACGTTTCACGTGCGGTCTCGTTTGCAAGAAGGATTTCTGTGCTCATTATTATTCGCCGTCTTTGACTTTTTCGTACGTGCGTCCCCGATACGAGCGTAAAGACGAACGACAAACGGTATCCATCGGCGCACTCGTCGGTCATAAACTAATTGCGTTAATTCCGCGAGAGTTTTAGTTTACCTCGATTTTGCAAATCGCATTCCACCGAATCCGTTTTTAACCGCCAAACATAAGTATTATTCATGACAATCGATCGTGCGAATGTTCATAAATTCTGTTGCCATGGAGAATGTCAACTGTGTAATAAAAATAACGTTGCAATTTCGAATTTTTGTCCTCGCATAATATGCACTATTACAAAATAAAATGAAAATCGATATACGATATAAAATTTAACTGAAAAGAAAAGAAAAGATTCGTAATTTTTTAAAAATTATTAAAGGCGTTTTGATCGCTGAGAACGAGTTTTAATTTCCGTTGGGGTAGTTTGGTTTTACTTCTGTTGGATATTCAGGAGTTACTTAGGCCGCACACTTCGACAAAGTTCGCCCTCTGCGCAAGTAAATTGTGGAAAAATATGAAAAATATTTATATGTGATTACATATACATTTTTCCCGTATATTATATGTATAATATCGACTCAGCCTTCACACATAAATATACGTGTAAATATAAAATACTTTCATTAAAGAGAGATCATTGATTGATAAAAACATTGCACGTAGATATCGTACGTGATATACTTAACTGTTACGCATATTAATCAAGTATCGTTAGAAAGTTTTAACGATTGCCCGTGATTCCCGTGAATCAACCGGAAAAGGCGGACGAGTGAAAACGGCACTATTGATCGCTGCCGAGAGTAGCTCAGTAATAGTTAACCCAATTACTTAGTGTCAAACGTTGAGGCTTAAGTCCAAATGAAATTCAAGGTGGTCTCTGTGCTTGAGAATTCAATTTAGATTTCAAGAATTATTAATAAAGACCGAGTTTAATGTGCTTTGATGTGCGAATTATTAACTTACTAACCTAAATTTTTATGACGATTATGACGACGTAACTGAATAAATAACTTTTAACTCATTATCAGCAATTATCTGGTTACTTTAAAGACTGCGACTCTCCGATTTTATTTTACGCCCGCAACGAGTTGCAACAATTTCAAGTGAACGCAACAGGATATTACATTAACGCCGGAAATCTTTTCCTTAATTTGCGCCACAACCGACCGAGATATAACGGGGTTTCTGCTTTAATCGGATTTAGGTCCGTTGGATACCGAGCGTATCTTCTCTAACGTGATTCCTTCTGCCAGTTAACCAAAGAATACCTGTGGTAATTCGCGAATATTGTTTACGAATTGAATTGAAACGTATATATGCTGTGCGAAGAACGATGGGCTCGAATCGAAGCGGGACTCACGCCCCGGAACGGTGAACACTTTCGTGACGAATAGTGATGATCGCGTACACGATGATCGAGCCACGCAGTGATAGGGTGACGGTCTGCTCACCTCAAACTCAGCACCAATGTTATCAAGTGATACGAACCACCAGAGTGCACCAGAGTTCGCGAAGCTCGAGGATGGTGACCGTTCAGGAGAAGGTCGTCAGGTCGCGTCTTCAGTTGGGTTACTCCACACCGACGTCGTTCATCAATCGGTACCTATTTATTATTTCTATTTCACCAGAATCACTAACGACCTATCGAATTTGATGGTAACGGATGACCGTTATCAATTCACTATTTGTAATCGAACGGCAAAATCGAATATGTCATTCCATCGTGTATTATTTCGTCGGAGCTGTTATGTCTACGTCACTAAAGAAAAACTAATCTTCAAGTCGTCTTAAACTCATATTTTTTAAAATGTAACTATAGAAGACCTCGCCATGCATAATTTCCATTTTCTTAAAATATAGTGTAAGATGTTTCAAAAAGATAACTCTTTGATTAAAATTTGTTTATTGCTCGTATCCTTTAATGCTTTTACTTAATTTCTCTTTACGGAATCTACAAATTTATCCAATTCGTTAAGTACTATATATCGTGAATCTACAGAAACGCAAATTTGTATGTAAACGGAAGGAACTAGACGAATTCTATTGAAGAAAAGGAAACTGCGTCAGCGATGCTAACATCCTACCGGCGTTATCTCGACGAGATTCGCACGAATGTAATTATCATAGTGGAGGAAACGTAATCTCTCTAAAGCGGCATCATCTCCTCGCCTCTTCCTCTCTAACACATGGATAGACTATCGCGAACGCACGCACACACATGAACGGCAACGCACATGCTCACCGCCGCCGGTAGAGAGCAAAATTATTTCAGGTAGAAGGTAGGATCGCTCGATGCTCGCGCAAGCGTGCGCGCTCGCGCACCCACGCCGGTAATGGCAATCAACGGTTGTTAATTGCTCGATGATAATTAGTCCACGGCGGCGCACGAGCAGCACCGCCGCGCGAACAGCGCTTGCGATAATGGCGCACGCTTTAATAATTTCCGTAATGAATTCGAGACACCGTGTACACAGACTTTTTCTCCGCACGATACACCTCATAGCACACTTACCTGACCACCTGACTTCCTCTCGATGTCAGAAATGTTACGTGCCGAAAATTGCACCAGCGATCAGGCATACAGCTAATAATGTACCGTTAATTTTATTTACGGTCCCGAACCGAGGGGCCGTAATTGAAGTAATTCAATTTTCTTGATATCCGTCTTTTCTTTTCATTTATTCATACATATTTTTATTTTTTATGTTTCTACACGGAGACAATTTTCTCTTATACCCTGAAATCATGGTAGTTGTGGGACATGTATTACCAAGAATTGTATGCGAGCTATTCTGATTAATATCCACCATAATACAAAATATTTATCTATTACATTAAAATGTAAAATATGTTTGATTAATTTTACTAAAATATATCTAGGAAATTTCAATAATTTTTCAAAATTTACCAATCTGCTTGGTAATTTTTATCACATTGTTTGTAAAATGTCTTTTGTATATTTTAAAAATTCCTTGGTTGCCAAGTTGTCTCAAGTTTGTAGTGAATTTAAGGGTAAAATATAACAAAAAATTCTCTCCGTATGTATATATTTCTTATACTTATCTTTACATCTGTTTTTTTTATTTGTGTCCTGAGAAAATTATTCCTGCAAAACATCCCGTAAAAGGCACCGTAATGTCAGAAAATATTTACGTACATATCAAGAGAATATTTCGTTTATATCTTGACGCCTCGTCAAGTCACACGAATGGGATTAAGAACTTCTCGGAATGATTTTTGCGTGAGTCTGCGCAAGTTTATTAGTATTACTCCGATAAAATGTGCCGTAACTGCGTGCCGTGAATAAACGACGTTAGGCGTAATTGACAGGAGCGATGGACACTTGCGCAAATCCTCTATGCATCTGCATCTGCCGAGGCGTCGCGTAAGTGGAGCAAAGACGTCCTTAAACGCGCCTCTCCGTCAGTCTTCGTGGAAATGAGCTGTCAGCTGATTTCCTCATCGTAATTGATCGTGAGAGAGCTTTTATCAAACTGTCGTCACTTACGGTCCAAAGTTCCGTGATTGTATAATTCACAATACAAAACATTTTCGTTTCATATTCTCATCTTTACATTTTTTATAAATATATATGTATATAATTATGTATATATAAAAAGGAAATGAGGAACATATATATTTTTATGTTATACATGTACACGTATGCATTGTGCAACTAATACGGTTAATTCTCAAGCGAATGTGATATGACGACCGTGTCATCCGTCTGGGGAGTTCGCAATATGCAAATGGCTTATATTGTGCGCATTTAGGCCAATGATAATGAACGTAAGCTATCGCTACACGGTAATTCAATTCTCTCCTCTCTAGGAACAAAGGACGTTTGCATGTACTTCGGAGATATATCAAGTTACATGTTAAGAAGTTAACGAGATGCTACGTGTCTATTGCTTTCAACGGTGAAACTTGATTAAATTGTAAGTGCGTTGTATCGTTATCGTCACGTAAGATGCACCGATAATCCTTAATTTACATACTACGCGCGCGATGCATGGATATTGCAACATTCTCCTCAAGTAACTGCATTTATAGAGATACTGTGAGGTTGTTTTATGCAACTGTATTTATGGATTTAGCGAGTTAAATATTGAAAATACAAATTGACATTGTAATAATGTGATAATTACTAGCACGATTATTATTCAAAATTTAAAATGAAATGTCATACAATATCGCATTCAAATATATGAAATATGAATAAAATATGACATTAAATATACTTATAAAGGAAATATTATTTCATCTTCATTTGATTCGGGATTTGTGTTTGTATAGTGGTTCTCACCGGCCAATCCTATTACATTTTCGTAATCCTATAAACGCCTGCAGGATCTCTTTCGTCGAAAAATACATTTTGAAGATATTTTACGAGATATTTTATTAAAAAACGCAGTTATGTTAAATACAATCTGTCTTATCTATTCATTCTCTGATACATCCCTAATAATTTTCTCCCTTTCAAATTGATTGAAAAGTTTGTTTGCTTTCCTTTTTTTATTTTACGTAAAAGGGATATAAGGAAAATATATATGAACGAGTCTTTTAAATAATCTGATACTTTCTTAAGTAAGACGCGATCCGTTTTCGATGGATCAAAGTGGAATAAGGACTAGGTATAGACCGTCGAGAAGCACCTCTTGAAAAAGGGGGGCAGGAAAGAAGCCAGCCGTGCATTTGGCCGCCCGTGGTATCTTCCTCAAAGAAAAAACATCGAGCCAGGTGCGTGTCGGGGCACCATCGGCACGGCAGGCAGGCGGCAGGGTCCCGTGCCGCTTCTGCGAAGCCGTGTCGGGGAGGCTCCGGATAGCACGCGCGCGTTGTGGCACGCGAGTCGCAGGCAGCCGACGATGGAGCAGATGTTCCTCCTCCTCCTCCTCCTTCTTCCCTGGGGAAGGCTCTAATGCCACATCGTCCCGCGTTTATTTCCCTTTATACGCAGGATCTCGACTCGCGTCTCTGGCGACGTGTGTTTGCTCCTATTACCGGGGCTCGCCGATGTTCTCCCCGAAAAGTTTCTGAACTCCAAACCGATTTTTGGTAAAAATACAATTGATAAAAAGTATCGATTCAATTTACTTGCAACTACGATGTCGTCGGCATGTTCCTTCTGCCGGAAGATTTTACGTCCGTCGCGCACGTGCTTCCTCTTCTCCGGAAGCAGATGGTTCCGGGGACTTTCCAATGTTTGCGTTTAAGTTTCACAACTGACTTTATAAAAGCCCGATATGTAATAATATTTATTTCACTAGCAGTAGTAATGATGTTGAATATATTCCTTCTCCTAAACAGTTATGCTTTCCTATGCAGATACGCTTTCTGAATTTAAGTATATTCCTTTGTGCCGTAGAGGTACAACTTCTACTCTCCCGTAGGACGCGTAATATTTTTATTGAGGTTTCTGAACTTCGATTTAAAAGGGTACACTCTAGTAATACGTGTAATTCTGCTAATAAAATTAGCAATTATAATGTCGAATATCTTGGTTCTATGTTTCTATATTCTATATTTATATTGTTCTAAGTTAAGATTAAAAACCCGTCAATTTGAGAATCGCTATATCGCTATTACACACGCGGTTACGTTGCCTCTATGTTACCCGCCGCATTTGTATTATTAAGACGCCGCATTATTGTTCAATTATCGTATAACATTTAATGGTACACGCACTGATTACGGCAGGGAAATATGGCTCAACTTACGAGAGTGATGCATTATAGCGGAGCGGTATCATCGATTTCTCAACCACGCTCTAATTTTAATTATCTACCAATATTCTTACAAGGCCACACAGATACGTTTCATTATTATTTCTCCATATATTACAACATTAGGTACCTAAATATTTATTTTATCAAATGGAGGGAATTTTCGATTTCGTATAAGGTTCGAGAGTCGGACGCGAATCGTGCATCGCTCCTTGGAACTCGCAGTTGCGTTGTCTCGCGTCTCATGACTCGTCTCTCCGGCGGCACGAGCATTTGTCATACATCGCGCGTTCATTTGCTTAAGTTATGTTGGATCTTTACGTAAGTCATTTAATTGACGCGCGTTGCATAAGAAGCGTTCTCTGCCGCGGAAGGTTGAGTGTCACGGTCAGATACACCGTTGTCGATGCTGCTATCGCTGCCGCGTGCACCTGCCAGATGCACACCGGCGCGGCGGCGCGGCGAGGATACGTCGGAGATATACGGGCCATGTAATGTGCACCTTTGTGCCGTCCCGAGGGGGGAAGAGACTACACCCCTCGTCCTCGATCCAAAATCCTTTCAGGGATTTCTCGTCCCAATGGTCCGAAAAAGCGGGGCCTCGAGAGCGCCAGCTGCTTCTCCTCCATCCTCCATCGCCAGTTCGTCTTCGGTGTTCGAGGTGGTCGACACGCGAGACGCGTGCCCCGTTCCTTGGGCGAGAGAAGAAACAGTTCCGTGGCGCAATCGCGTGGTGTAATTGCGCGCAAGAGCGAGTCGTACATCGAGGACGTCCGTGGCACGCAACCACGCCGCATCATAGACGAAGATAGATCGCGCAATTTGATACACGTGGAAAATCGTCCGAGTCCTCGGCAGCACACACAAACATGATCATTTGCGTTTATTACTTCAGGGGGTGCGTCTTTACTTTGTTCTTACGAACGCCGCGTACGTCGCTTATACGCGTCTGTCTAATAATTAAAGACACCTGGCGTTTGCAGCCGCGCGAACAGAGCGATGTCGTTTATCTGATTTCAATTATATCCCCGTACGGTCTTACCGCACAGTATTTCTTTATGTAGGCTGCCTTATAAACTGGTGGTACCATAGAAAGTATGATGATGAAAAACTAAATTGAAAATCTAGAGATAAAATCTCTTTATTCAACGTTCCGTTTTCGAGGACAACTGCGAAAATTGAAAAGTTGATATGAAAGCCTTTTAGTCGATAGCATCTCTTCGGGTTTTTAACCGTCGATGATCTTCCGCGATTTCTTTCGTACCTTTCATCAAATTCTTTGAGACAATTTATCAGAAAAGTTTTGCTATTGAGTCGTTGACTTTTGAGTTTTGGAAGTATAATGCTTTACGGGATGATGTCTCGAGCAAAAGCTAATTACACATGTGTCCGTCTCTTGTGCAGCTTCCCGACGAAGGTGGAGAGACCCATGGCGTCGCACAGCAGCACGGCCGCTAGCCAGATCCACGGCAACAGCATGCACGGCGCGTATTCCGGCAGTCAGACATCCCTGTCGACGACATCGTACATCACCGGCCAGTCCTACATGCAGAGCCAGAATTACGCGCACGGGCCGCCGTATCCCGCTGCAGGCGTGCAGGTCTACTCGCACAACGCGACGGGTTACTCGCAGCCGCAGAGCTACGGCACCATGGTCCAGGGCTTCGGCGGGCAACCGCAGTCTGCCGGGTATCAGCAGAGTCATCTTAAGAAGGGCTCGGTCCGCAACGGCGACGTGCTCAAGCGGTGTCGTCTGCAGACCGCGTAAGTTGTAATTTTATACTCTCTTTCGCGACCGCGAACGAACAACAGATACGCGGAACCGTAACGATTCGCGTGCGGATGAAAAATCGTATAATATCGAGGACGTATCACGGTCAGGAGGATGGATCGGTAGTTAAAAATTGCTTGATCTCGTTCCGTACAGATACGAGCTGTCGCAGGATCTGCTCGACAAGCAGATCGAGATGCTGGAGCGAAAATACGGCGGCGTGAAGGCGCGGAACGCGGCGCTGACGATTCAACGTGCCTTTCGGAGGTACACGTTGCTGAAGAAGTTTGCGGCGATCACGGCGATGGCCAAGGCGGAGAAGCGATTGAGTAGGAAACTTCAGGAGGCGGCGACGGATCGCAACCTCAATGATCACGAGAGAATGGTCTATCACAGTCAGATATATATTCAGCAGGCACAGTCCGCCAACAGGTAATCAAGACGTTTCTTTCCGCGCGCGCGCGTACTCTCGTTACGTTACAAAAAGTTTTTATCGCGCTAAATTGACTGCGAATATAACAGACCGATGCCGATCCGAAGCATGTCTCTCAGGGAGAGGCGGCACGTGGATAACTCGCAATCGCCTATACCGAGGAGTCAGAGCGGTAGATGCGAGGTTCAGGTCAGCGGCCATCAACACACGAATCACAATTTACATCAAAGCGGCAGACACACGCCTTCATTGGCGCCCAGCCCGTGCAACCGACATCAGCAATTACCACCGAGCCCCTGCTGGGAGTCGAGCTCCCAAGAGAGCGGCTCCAGTATCCATTACTACAATCCACAGGTGAGCGTCGATAAACGTAACGTCATGTTAACTGGCAAAGGAATACTCGACAGTTCGAACGATCATTTTGTAAAATGAACGAGAATAATTTATTGCAGCAATTTCGTTTTAGCGCCTTAATTTGATAGAAAGACGCGATTTCTATTTAACACAGGAAGCTTTGTGTGGTCTGAGACAAGAGACGCCGCCAAGAGACTTGCTGCGAACACCGTGTACGTCGCCGTCGACGCCGCACAATCTGCAGACGACGATATCGCAAAATTGGAACAATGCCAATCAGCTTGGTCCTAGCAGAACGAGAAGTTCCGGCAAGAAGGTCCCGCCGGAGGTGCCGAAGAGAACGTCCTCCATCACCTCGAGATCTATGGAACCGCGACACAATGGTCTCAGTAAAAGCGTGGAGAATGGTAGTCTAAGCTCGGTGCAGAGTTCCGGCAGCGATTCCACCAATTGCGAGAGTTCCGAGGGCGATGCTCAGAGAGGATCGCCCGTTTGGAAGCACAAAGGGATTGTGAGTATAGCTGACTTCCTTTTTTTTTCTCTTGTTATATTTATGCTTGTGCGCTTAGCGCAAATAACGGCGATTTCTTGAGGACGTAAGCGAAAAGCGTTAACGGAATCGTTTTCATTGTGAAATCAGCCGAGTTCGCCGGAACATCAGGAATGCGCGAGTCATACCACGGACGCGGCGACGATGGCCGCTAACGTGAAGGAGCTCGGACACTCACATGCCAGCTCCGGCTACCAGCTTCCCCTGATGGACCACACAGAGAGTCTGCCGACTCAAACGAGCTACAAGGTGTCTGAGACGGTGAGGAAGCGGCAGTACAGGGTCGGCCTAAACCTTTTTAATAAGAAGCCGGAAAGAGGGATCAGTTACCTCATCAGACGTGGATTTTTGGAGAACAGCCCGCAAGGAGTCGCCAGATTCTTGATCAGTCGAAAGGGATTGTCTAAACAGATGATAGGAGAGTACCTCGGGAATTTGCAGAACACTTTCAATATGGCAGTGCTTGAGTGAGTGGCTTAATATATTTAATACATTTGGATTAATATCAAAAACAAAAAAAAACAAATTTTTTTAGTAAAAGATGGATTTATTATTAATTATATATTTTTAAGATACTTTTTTTAAATAACACTTTCGTAATGTGTTAAAAAAATGTATTTTATTATTTATAATTATTATCTATGTTTTTGCTATAATTTACTACTTATAATTTGTAGATGTTTTTCTCAAGAGTTGGATCTCTCTGGAATGCAAGTGGATGTCGCTTTACGAAAGTTTCAAGCCTATTTTAGAATGCCCGGCGAGGCGCAGAAGATCGAGCGGCTTATGGAGGTCTTCAGCCAACGTTACTGTCAATGCAATCACGATGTAATATCGAGGCTGCGGTCGGCAGATACTGTTTTTGTCCTGGCCTTTGCTATTATCATGCTTAATACAGATTTGCACACACCGAATCTAAAACCTGAGCGCAGAATGAGACTCGAGGATTTCATAAAGAATCTCCGAGGAATCGATGATTGCGGCGACATAGACCGAGATATTCTAGTTGGCATTTACGAACGGGTAAAAGATAACGAATTCAAGCCGGGCTCCGACCACGTGTCGCAAGTAATGAAGGTCCAGGCAACTATTGTTGGAAAGAAGCCAAACATGGCGCTGCCGCATAGAAGATTGGTGTGTTACTGCAGGCTCTACGAGATACCGGACATCCACAAGAAGGAGAGACCCGGTGTTCATCAGAGAGAGGTTTTCCTCTTTAACGACTTGCTCGTCGTTACGAAGATCCTGAGCAAAAAGAAGAACAGTGTAACTTACACTTTCAGGCAGAGCTTTACACTTTGCGGCATGGTGGTCACCCTATTCGAGGTTCCCCGTAAGTTTCAGCAACGAAATAAATTTACGAAGATATCAAAATATTAACGTAATCTTAACTCTCGGCTGCCATTATTTGTCTTGCAGATTATCCATACGGCATAAGACTCTCTCAGCGTGTCGACGGAAAAGTTCTAGTCACATTTAACGCTCGAAATGAGCATGACAGGTGTAAATTTGTGGAAGATCTTAGGGAATCCATCAGTGAGATGGATGAAATGGAAACTTTGCGTATCGAAACTGAGTTGGAGAGACAAAAGAGCAGTAGGGGCGCGCGGGGCGGTGCGGAAAACAGAGACTCCGGCGTTGCCGATGTGGAGATATGTCCTTGTCCCGGGACTTGTTCCGACAGAGCAGAAACGGTCGATGTCGACACGCAATTGAAACGTTCCGCTCTTAGTAATTCTCTTCTGGACATACACGAGCAGTGTAAGTAGAAAGAAGTGTATATTTATACCTTTTTATTTTTGCAAATAAATATAACATGTAAATGTATGTGTTTAGTTGCTGGAGAGAAGCCACAGCGTCGTGGAAGCGTGGGTTCTTTGGATAGTGGTATGTCTATTTCATTTCAATCTACTTCTGCCAGCTCGATGAGCCAAGGCATTAAGCATCCTGGACAAGTTCATCCTATTCATCCAGGGGCTACGATCCCTGGTGCCAGTGGTAAGGGACTGGCTCAGCAGCCGTCTTTTTTAGGAGGTCTCTTCGCCAAACGAGAGCGAAAACTATCGCAATCTGAAGAGTCTGGCCCTTACAGTCGTACCACGGAAGTATAATGTACTCTTCCAGTAACGTAAACGAGGTACACTTTTATATTTTCTTCTAGTACGCTTCGTGTTTTTAATAAGATGTCTAACATCGATGACGAGGATTTTAAAAATAGCAATAATTATTCCCTAATTTATTCGTATTAATAAAATTATGATCGTCATTTCTCCTGTTTGGAGCTTCTCGTCATACAATCTTAAAAAAAAAGAAAGTAAAATTAATACAAGCAGCAAGACTACCGCAAAATGTTCTATTAGCGTAGTGTCTACTACTAATAAAGTAGCGTCGTTTTATACGTATACCACGAAGCGTGCTAAAGGATTAGAGAGATAATGAACGACAGATAACGCTAATAAGGACGTAAATCTGAAGGATTGGGCAGGATCCAATCGAGATCACCTGGCGCATTTAAAAAGAAAAAAAGAAAATTTTAACCTATTCTCCCCTCCCGAAATTGTGTATAGTATTTATTCATCTAAAACAAAAAACTAATGGACACATTTTTCATACAGTGTATTTATAATTTACGAGGAATATTGAATGATAGAATTGTGTGTAGATAATATTATTACATTTTTGCTTAGTTTTACACTATAGACGGGCGTTAACGAGTAGAGTCTAATGAAGAGAGAATCATAAGTCACAAGAATTGTACGAATACGAGATATCTTATCGAGAGTTTCTAATAGTAATCGCTATCAAGTATTATCACCATCACCGATCCGAAAAGCTGTAAATAATAGACGTATAACGACGTTCGAGTTGTCACGTGTAACGAAAAGGAGTTTAGCATAAGGGAAACGATAAGCAATCTCTATCGATGTTAGGTGCATGTTGATGTCTAACGATTTTTATTATTGGAAACGTGAAGTTTGAATGTAGCAATGAAATAAGACTTAACGTAAGACGTGTTTGTCATTATAGCGACCTATTGATAATCATTCACGAAGAAGTAGTTTTTGCTTATGTATGTTGAAATTTTGACTCAAAGTTGTTCGCATTTTCACTAAAAGAAAAAAAAAAGGGAAGGAAAGGTGAGAAAAGAAAAAAAGACCAGCATGTTAAATATATCCGCGATTAATTCGTTTCTCGTCTTCCGCGGCGAGAGTAGACGATAGATCTAAATGTCGATATAATACCGTCGCGAGAGCGTAAACATGTAAGCTAAGTTACGTACGCGAAACAAAGGAAACAAAAAAAAGGAAGACAAGAACGCGCATGCCTTATATACTGCCATGATAAAAATCTCGCGCGACCGAGAAACGAACTAATGTAATTACAATCGTAGAGGAGGTTGGAAGTTCTTTTCCAAGAAGCTGTGGAATTGTATGACAAACTAATTAATCATGTACATAGCGCTGATCGCGACATCAGCTGGCTGTAAACAAGCAAACGGCGTTCATTAATTTAATGATAATCTCCTGTTAAAATAACGCATCTACATAGGAGGAGTGTTTAATATAATTCTACTTTAGGTTTCGTTTCCTTATTTGACCTGCGCTCGAGAATATCAGGCGTGTTTAAAGGATTCTAATAACATTACGCAGGCGAGAGAGGAGAGAGAGAGATACACTTTTCCTTCGGCGATAAATTTGTAATTATCGTTAACTTAAGATTAAGATTCGTTGGAGGGAACGAGATTGCGATCGGTCAAAGATATCATGCAAGAAAAAAAAAGATTCTCGTGTAACGTTCTCGTGTGCGTAGATATTGGAATTTCGCGAGAAGTCTCTCGCAAGAGAGTTTTTTCGCGCGCGGAAAGAGAAGGTAGAAGAAATAATTACATCGCGCTGACAAATTTTTATACGTATATCACATGACGATCGACCACATGCTAATTTTCCGCTTGTCACCGTCTGCTAACAACTGTTATCGATTGACTCTTGATATGAACGACCCGTACTAATGTACTAATGTACTTTATAAAACGTTGTAAACGATCGAATGTTGAACACTCCGTTCTATTTATGATTCTAATAAAGAGAAACGAGAAAAGGAGCAGAGGAACGTAATTGTTGAAATTGTCGAGGGACAATTTGCGCATTTTGTGGTGGCTTATTGCCGACAATATATACATTCTGTTTACTGAAAGAGAGAGAGAGATAAACGGAGAGGAACACTTCCATGCCTGTCGCGAACTTTCTTTCTGTATTAAAACAAGCTACTCGCACGCATCACCGACATCGATTTCTAGTCTTTCTCATCGACATCGATGTGTACGCGGTACGTATCTTCGTACCGCAAAAAGCAACGGGATTAATTCGCGAAGATAATCCTCCGCAAAAATTGTACAGAGACACATATGATCGACCTTAGACGCGGCATTTAACGTCACAAAGTACGCTAAGTTTTACACGGACGAGATCGCGTCAATTCTTCTCACTGGCCACTCACTTAAATGTCTTAAATCTTAAATAATCTGAATTCTGTGATAATCTCGCGCGAGGACAAGAACAAAAAAGACTGATTAGGAAGAACCCCAAATTTTATTACGACACGTATCCTTTTTTGTCACTTCTTTCCCCCCCCTGCTCACAGAAAGAAAAAAGGGAATCACTTTATTGAGCTTAATTATATTAATGAAGAAAGATGAACTCGAGCATCGCCTCGCTCTATCCCTCTAATTTGATCGACCTATATCGTCGTCGTCAGTCGTGTTAAAGTAGAAATACGTATTCTTGTTGGCGGTATAAAATATCAGGGAAGAATGGATTGCACCAAATTGGCGCGATCTTTATAGTCTAGACGCCCGATTGAGCACACGTCGCGGCCGTTATTCGGCTTGCTCTCCGTGAAAAGCCTTGCTGATGAGAAAGCGCGTATAATCAAGATCAGTCGCCCTCCCTCGCCCCCCTCCACCCTCCCCTTCCCTCTCAATGCCAAATTATTAGTAAATTCCTCCCTCGTTAGTCTAGTGAATGCTGTAAGTACACTGTGTTAATAAATAACTCTGAATCCGAAACCGAAATGCGTGTGTTTCTCTTATCGCACCCTGACGCCCAAAAGACACGTAATATATAGTGATGATCTCAACTAAACTCCGATTAAACGGCGATTAATTTATCGAATAAAATGTTTTATCAACATAGAACTATATATTAATTTTCTGTTGCTCGCGTGGAAAAAAATTAGATAGAGGACAATGAATCGTAGTATAGTGCGACCAGAAATATTGCTGTAAGCAATTCCAATTAAATTAATCGGAGTTCGGCCGAAATTGCCCGAACTTATGTCTATTTCTGCCAATGTATTAACTTTAATCTCCGTTTAACTTGCTTATTATATTTTTCTTTTAGAACTAGAATTTTTAGTTCTAAGAATAAGAAAATAAATCTCTCTTCTAGTCCTATAGAAATAAAAAAAGATAAGTAAGTTAAACCGAGATTGACCGAGATTAAAGTTAATTTACATTGGTAGAAAATAGACGTTATATCGAGTAACACCGTTTCGTTAATGCGGACTTAATTAAATTTTATTGCTTGAACATTAAGTTAATCGAAGTTCGATCCAAATCGTTCGAAAATAGACCGTTCGAGAGCAGCAGTCTTGGGCTACGGTCAACGTGACGCTACAAATGCTTTGGAGCGTTCTTCTTCTCTTTCTTTCTTCATTGAAAGAAAAGAGAAGAGGAATGCTTCGAAGCATTTGCAGCGTCACGTTGACCGTAGCCTAGGATTATCATATTAACTTAACGGCGCGAGATGAAATTTGGAGTAACAAACAATTCATTATTTTTTTAATTCGATTTTCAGCATTTAATTTTTATTTCTGATGCGACGAGTTTCGACCGATCCGGTCGCCGATCGTTTATTATAGTTTGCTTCAAAATCGAGATCGACCTGATCGATTATTTACAACCGACTATTCCTGGATCCCCTACAGCAGCCTGGGCCGTCCGATGACGACGATGACATAAAACGTAAATCATTGATAGCGATAAATGCATCGTCGACACGCATATGCCGCGCATCTGTATAATGTGGCTTCCAGACGCGCGCGAGAACCGCGCTCGTTCGTAACGGCTCGTAAATCTCTTCGTAAACACAATACTGTCGAACGGAAGTTCACAGTATCTATTCAAGGTGTTGCACGATCATTGCCGTATTTAATTGTAAGCAGTGAAAGGATACCGATGCGAGAGAATGACGGCCGAATCCCACGTCTTCCGACGGCGGGATGTCCTCGACCTCGAGATGACGCGTTCCTAACCTCCAACATGGCGCGAATACAGTTTTATGCGATTTAACAGGAAATTCTCTATTCTCCCGTTTCGACCAATCTTGACTAATCCGATAAAGAACAAGGTGGGCATCGTAAAACGAAACTGGTCCGCACGGTGCATCTCGCGCGTCGTTTGTGCCGTCTGAAATTCATGTTTGACAGCTATTTGACAGCTATGGAGGACCGGATCCACTCGGAGTTGATTATGAAGGAGGAGCAGGACGAGGACGAGATCAAGGAAGGCCGGTGCTCGGCCGAGAGCGAGAAGAGCGTCACCCCCGACGGGTCGGCGATCGGGATACGGCCGAAGCCGCTGATCTGCAAGCCGGAGACCGTCAGCATCGGCTGCAAGTCCGAGCCGATCGAGACGAAGTGGCACTGGGCACCGGGAGCGTGGCAAGACGCGACCAGAACCAGCGCGTTTCAACCGTACAAGGTATTCCCTCAACAGCCTTCCCCTGAATTCCACAAAACGTCAGGGGATCTTTTTCTTGTCGCAAAATCCTCCGCAGTCCCATCGTGGAATATTTGTATTTTGTACCTGAATATATAAAGTATCTATATCTTTTCTATTTGCAGCCACCCACTCTGCTCACAAATTTGCAAAGAGGCAACACTCAGACGCAGATACACCAGCTCTACGTTGATAACGATATCACATTTCATACCTTGGCGGGTCAAGGGGAACTTACGTCCGATCATATACATTCAAGTAAACATCGTGTACATCTTAGAAACTAAGTTGATGTACATACGTACAAATACTGTTGTAGAAGAATTTCATCTTTACGCTATGCAGATTCAGTGGATATGACCGATGAACAGGGTTTAACAGGATTGATGTGGGCCAGTGCTTACGGGCAATTGGGTAGCGCCAGGCAATTACTCAAAAGGGGCGCCAGTATAAATCGTTGTGGACCAAAATTACAGACCAGTTTACACTTGGCGGCCGCCTACGGTCATCACGACGTTGTCAAATTATTGTTGAATCATGGGGCTGATCCTAACGCATGCGACGAGGTGCGCACGTTGCATTTTCTTTACCCAAGTATTATACACTTGTTATCTAGCATCGTGTGTCATATGATTATATTTCTGTTGTAGGATGGTAACACTCCGTTGATTTACGGAGCACACTGCGATCATCCACACGTGTGCTATGAATTGTTAACAAAAGGTGCGGATGTAACGCTTACTAATTCTTCGAATATAAGTGCTTATAAAGCAGCGATTGTGAATAATTCAATGAATGGTAAGCATTTTCTTGTAAAACCATGTGAAAGTATTTATACGAAAATAGTTAATTTGATTTTTATCAATTTGCAGCTAAAGCAGTTATTGAAAATCATTTGATACCACAAATTATAAATATGCCAACAGATGAATTATAACGATATTTGTACATTAAATTGTAATATTTGTATATTATACACATTTTTACAAATTGTAAATAAACATTAAGAAACAGCAATATTTTCATCCTTTAACTATAAGAACTTCTATATAGCACGTTTTTACTGAGAGCTCTAATAAGGAAGATGGCAATGCATAGCGTGAAATAGTTTCCGAGATACAAGGTACATAAATATACGAACGAGTAACAAAATTTGATATATATATATTTGGTAATAATACAATCTTCTGCAGGAGCTATTGCAATACTAAAATATATGTATCGAGTAGAAAGTAAATACGATAAATTTGCGTATATGAATCATAACTAAGTTCTGTCCAATTAAAATATATCTTCTTTTTTACAAACGTGTATAAGTATTCGGCACCGGACAGCTATTAAATAGCGTATTAAATTGATACATGTACATAAATATAGTAAACGACATATATCAATGCTCAATGATCATATAAGGAATGGTTGTATGGCAATAAAATTAAAATTCAAATATGGTATAGTCAATCTTGATTGTTGATCGTAACAACTGTCTCTCCACTGAACTGTGCCTATTTTCATATTCTTATATGCGCAAATACTTCAGCTATTATCCACGATGTCTTATACAACTTCATAATTATCAGTGAAGAATACGCTTTCTACCGAATACTTAACTGGACTCTCATCTTCTACAAGCAAAACTTCGCTAACCTGGAAAATAAAAATAAACATTATTTTTATATTGATTTTTTTATATTGATTAATGTAATTTGCGTAACACGCAGAGAAATCCATGTATTCTATACCTTAATTTTGGCATACGGCGTTTTGGACGTAAACGAAACGTGAAGTGGGAAAAAATCTCCAGGTGTAGAAGACGGGGCTGAAAATTCCATAGAGCCTGATTTCGTTGAAGCATCGATGACCGGTAAGGACCAAACTAACGTGTTTCGTCGTGCTTCGTGCGTATATTGCCCGTCGCATTCACTGACGATAGGATTGCTACCAATAGGTAGAGGAATGTTTATTTGCACATCGTTCAATTCGAGGTCGACCTGTTCCAATTCGTATTCGATATTCACGTCGCAGCCACCTTCTCCGTTTTCAGAAGGCCAGCAATTTACTGTTACAAGCAATTAATTAAATATTCATAAATGTATGGATTTAAAAAAGTTAAAATTAAATAAAAACGTATATGAAAATTATTATTGCAGTCTCACTTGAAATTGGTAATGCTCCTTCGTCTTGAGCTTGAAAACGCCATTTCAGCACACCGACGTCAGTATTCAATGGAAATGGTTTCGTGGGTACTTTCAGACCTATCTGTCCATGTGCTCTAAACAATTCCTTGTCCACGTTTGGATGAGTTTGTAACTGTATTCCTCTTGTGTCCCTGTTGTCGACTTGCACGCGGATACGTCCCCATTTCTCGTCGGAGATGTGTAAAGTCACCAAGCCATGCAACTCGAAGTTTTGTACACCTCCATCCCGACCGATGCGTACGTTAAGTCGCTCTTCTTGTCTCAAGTGAACCCTTTTGACGGAAATACATATGAGTGATCTGTTCATGAATAATTTTGAAGCTCTTACATATCAATATAATCACATACAATTCTGTGTTAATTATCTGAGGAGTGATTTGTGCTAATTTTGTTCCAGGAGCAGCAAGGGGTCCTGACACGACATTTTCTCCCTCTTCCTTTAATTGATCAACGAACGAGTCTACATCGCGAGACTTGCCACCTAATTTCATTGCACCTGGTCCGGCATTGACTGGTTTCCTGACAAAAAATATTATTTACAAAATAAAAATGTGTTTGCAAATATTATAAGCTAGAGCAAGATAGACGCTCTCTAGATATACAATCAAACTTAAATCGTAAGGCAAATGAGAGCAGAACGCCGAGGTTAAAGCGAGAGATATAGTATACAAAAAAGTAACTTTCATACAAAAATAAGTACAAATAGAAATTACAAACGCTTCGGTCTCAGAGTTACTTTTTTAAAGTTTTTTATATATTATATCTCTCGCTTTTTAACGGCATTCTACTCTTATTTGCCTTATGATTTAAGTTTAATTACAATTTAATTACAATTAAGATTCAAAATGATTGATCGTACTGTTTGGGCTTGTAAGAAGGTCTAATCGGTTCAGGCACAAAGTTAGCTGTATCACCAACAGCTGGAGTAGCAGGGGTGCTGCCGCTTCCGTATCCTCCGCCAAATCCGGGACTTTTAATTCCGCCTTTTTTGTTAGCTTCCATCATCCTTTGCCTCTGTAACTCCTTAGCTTTCTCACGCATTTTATTCTTAGCTTCACGCTCCTGTGTCATTCGGACTGCTTGATAGACCTTCTCCTCGTGTGAATCCATTTCCACAAAGGTTCTGATTTGTGCTAAATTGACATTCTCCCTATAGCCTAACGCAACTATTTCGTCAAATGCAAATATCAAATTGAACGCATTCTCTGCTATTTCAAGTTCATCCATCGAGTTGCAATATTCTGGAATCTGTAAGATTCAAATATCATTGCAACTTAACTTACGCATGACGATATATGACAAGTATTCATATACAGGGATTGATTAGCCCACTTACCACTCTCGCGAAGAGCCTTAAAGTTTCCAAATCCTCCAAAATATTGCTGGCCTTAGTCGTGATGAGCAGCATGTATACTTTCTCAAGGGGCTGATAAACGTATCTAACGGATTCCGTTTCTACAAATGTATGCTGTTTACCCGAGCTCATTAGTTTCGGGAATGCAGCGAGTAGGCCTTCTATCCTCGCCTTCGTCATTTCGACGAACTGTCGAGAAATTATGGCTGGAAGAGTAATGCAAACCGTAATGATGAAAACAGTCGCAGCAAATATTTTTCCAAGTTACTCAATTCCATTGATAAAAAAGTTTAAGTAAACAGAGTAAACCATGCAATTTTTTTCTTAACAACCAGTGTACCGATTGATACTGATTCCTTAACAAATAGAACGAAGTGCGAATTAAAGACACGAAGCAAGGATTATCATGTGATTAGCCCAGCGCAACCGGGCGACACTGTCCAACCGAACACGCATACGCGGACGGCAGTGATGCAAGAACGTTTGGCAAGAACTCACTTTTCCCGGCTTTGGTGCATACCGCAGCGGCGATGAGTACCTGGAAAAGAAAAAGAGAGCGTGCGATGTCGCATACAATCGGGTTGGCGATACTCGCGGGATTAAATGCTTGGCGGTCACACGCCGCTAAATGGATGACATCTGCGGACGGTGTCGCGGGGCTCGCGCTCCCACCGCTCCGGGACTCCCTTCTTTGGGATTTCGACAGCGACTTCACGGTCGCGGTCGCGGAAGACGATCACTTACCATCCTGGCGAGCGATTCCTCGACGCTCCGTGATCAGCGATATACCCCGCGATTTAGTCTAATCGTGTTCCTTGTCACCCGCGAGCCGACCTGCTACTCCACATCACACATCACACATATACAAATATACGATGAAGGGGAACAGGAGCAGAGGGCGCGCGCTGTGCTGACGTGTGCCATGATGAAAGACGTTTCGCCGTGGATTACGATTAGTGTAGTCGGAAACCACCACCCACAAGCT